TATTCCTTGACCTGGATGCCATTGATGGATGCAACAGATGGTAGCGTCTTCTCTAGATCCTTGAGCGTGTGACAGGTTCCAGTGGAGCGGAGATGAGTCAAAATCAAATCTTGTTTAGCGCTTTTCGTTAATTTGGGCTAGTGGTGCGTCAGTAGTCTGATCCGAATGATCCTGGGCCCCTAGGATATGCCAAAGCCACGTACCATCTTGCACTGTCAAATGGTGTCAAAAAAGCTTATCAATCCAGCGTTCGTTCATTGGACGAGTATGAGGCAGCTAAGCATTGGTGGAGGCGCAGCTCTGGGGTTGATGGATTGAGTTCAAGTCAGCAGCTCCCTTGGGCTTACCTGTCACGTAACACAGAAACTCGTGCCTCAGACAAACTCATCTCCCATTTGACATTGCTTACCTATCCTATTCTAAGGGTTCCTATTCTGAGGGTTCTAAGGATTCTCTGTAGAACTGTTTTTATTTTCGTTCGAACACATCGTAAATTATTACGGTAGACCACTAATACTGACCCTGGCTCAAGATAGCCTCGTTGGGACTCGTTGGGAATCAGCACAGGACTAGATTCATGCAAGACTAGGTAAAATCCGGCCTAATATTCTATGCGAACCCAATCCAGCCAATTCCTGGAAGATCCTACTTGGGTTAGACGCAAGACTATGTTACAACAGAAACGAGGTCTCGCAAGATGTCGCCCGGTGCCAGCCATAATTAAACCGAAGCTGCTGTAGGATTCACAGCATATCCAAGATTGTGGTTTAATTCGGCGAGGAGAGAGGGCTCTGGACAGCCCTGTTAGCCGGCTAGATATTGGCCGGTCTAGTCACCGCAAGTTCTCTCCCTAGAGGCACCACTGTGTGTATAGCTCCATTGAAGACCTTCGGTGTAGGAGGCACACAGGAAGGCGCAGCAAAACTATTGTCTTACAGATTAAAGTCTGACTTTTCGCCTCTCTGTATGCCATATAGTCGTAGCAGGGTCTGGGATATGTGCCGATACCATGTGCAGCGTGGCTGTGCCACGGCAGTACATGGGGTGACCCGATTCCCTTTCGAGGGGGTTGACTGAAGCTCTGCAAGATCGTGCGGAGCTTGATACAGCTACAGGCGTCAAAAGCCTCCGAAGAAATTCGGCCGCGGAGAAATGGATGCAACGCGACAAGAAAGTTCTAACGCCATCTCATCCAGTCATCGTCTTTCATCAATCTCGGTGTCCAAATCGGTTGTAAGAGAAACAGAACGAGACAATTTGCGTCGTTTTGATCTCTGACGGACAATGCTGTTTTTCCGTTTTCTTCGTGCTGCTCGTGCTGCTGATTTAGTTGTGGTGTCGCTCTCGGGGCCCGTCTTATCGTCTTCTTCCTCCGAGAGCTCTTCTCCTTCAACCAGGGCCAGATCCCCGGTTTCACCCAGTTCCTCCTTGGCCATCTCTTCGATCAGGATCCCCACTGCAAGCAATGCTGTCTCATCCATAGTTTGATGGTCATCTTTGCCGTTGTCCGCCGTAGCGTATTCGTAATAGTCGGCAGTATAGGCATGGATCGTCTCGAGGAGCTCGGAGTTCGGGAGAGCTTGATCAGAGGGGAGATTCTCATGCGCGAAATAGGTTTTCTCCTCGATTGATTCCGCTGGAACGTTCTGTTTGCGATAGAGGAGCTCCTCTGGACGTAAACTTCGAGCGGCTGACGAGGTTGTGTCGCGGTATTGAGAAGCAACGTGACGGAATGCGTTGACACCGCGGAGGTTGACACGACCTAGTCGCCATTAGATCTTGTTCTACTTTGCAACTCAACGAGCTTGGGAAACATACCAGCTACCGCATCATAGACGTTGGCGCGGCGTTTTATGTGTCTCGAAGGCTTATCGTCCGTTGGTTCTTCCTTATCTTCGACTGACTCGACAAGACTGTCATCATCCAGTCCTGGTGACCTGGAAACAGACATAATTCAGGTTTGCCAGGAAGACCAATCAAGGTTTGGCAATTAAACAGTGATGTGCGAGTAAAGATCGAGGATCTCCAGCTGCCAAATTCCATAAATGCGCCGGCGCAACTTTAATCCGGCAGAGCATAGCATCATCGAGTGCTCTCAACTTCTCCACGCAAAAGCACCAGCGCTGATGAATGAATGAATTCCTATCTCCTCAACAGAGCCCTTGGTTCTGTGACTCCAAATGAATTTCATGTCGCTCAAACAACCCGGCTAGTGCGCAACCTGGAGCCCGCTCCGGGCATACGCTTCTCCAGCCGCAGAGCAGCTGCGCCAACGGACTGGTCTGAAGACGATGTGGCACCTTTAGATCAAGAGCTAGGTACTACGGCGGAGGTATTTGCTCACAAATCTGGTGTGAATTGTCTAGCTATCGATCAGTTTGAGGGCCGATAGTGCGTGCGCAACCACTTAGCATCCGACAGTTATCAACTAACATGAGGGTAGTATGATATCGGGAGGTGCCGATCCATCGGTTCATCTCTGGGACCTTGAATCAAGAGGCTCAGAACTCGAGCACATTCATCAGTCTTGTGCGTCCGTTAGCAAATCCTCTCACGCCGATGCGCATACACATGCGATTACCTCCCTCTCGATCTACCCGTTTGATCCCGTCCCATCAACGATCTTCTCAACAGCACACGATGGTACATTAAAGCTGTCGGCGCTAGAATCGCCCTCTATCACACCGGTGCATACGTTCAGCCTAGATTGTACGCCATATTCGCACTCGTTCTCCTCTCAGCCTGGGTCAACACTGCTCGTCGCAGTAGGCACGTCTGACCGGTCGGTCCGACTAGTAGACGTACGATCTGGACTATCGACACAAGGTCTACCGGGACACAATGGCGCAGTTTTGTCAGTAGCATGGGCACCTCATAGGCCGCATCTCTTAGCCTCTGCATCGGTTGACAACCGGGTAATCATATTTGACGTGCGTCGCGGAGGTCACAACTCTGCCATCGCTACCCTGGACATGGACGATCCAGTGGGACTAGTGGCCCCAGGAACTGGATCTGCGCCGCTCTCATACGAGAGTCGTCCAGCCTTCTCCCGGCACGCCCGTGCCCACAATGGGCCCGTGACCGGAGTACGGTGGACCTCTAATGGCAGTCACGTCGTGACTACAGGACAGGATTCCCGAATTCGAGTTTGGGACTCCGCGACAGGCGCCAATACACTTGTTCATTTCGGCCCTCGGGTCCGTAATAGCTCTTCCTCGCACCTGGCCGAACGGGCACCCTTAATCGTGCCGAAGGGCTCCATGAATCCAGGCCATGAAACATTACTGTGGCCAAATTTCAATGAGCAGGACGATCGTGGTGAGATTTTCATGTTTGAGCTCCGCGAGGGGACATTCGTCAAGCGTCTCCGCGTCCCAGGTCTCATGGCTGGGTCGCAGAATGTTCGTGGTCGGTCGAGTGCTTTGAGCGCTGGGCGTGTCAATGACCTTGTCTGGCGAGGGAACGGTGCCTCGGGAGAGGGGATAGAGCTGTTCTCTGCGCATGGCGATGGAACGATCCGGACATGTGTGTCTCGGGAACCGGATGGCGAACCCACTGAGACCGAGCAAGCAGCTCAGGCCGATCGCAAGAGGAAGAGAGATGTTCTTGAAGAGATCTATCAAGGATTTCTCGGGCCTGACCAGCCCGGGCTACGAACCTGAAACAATTGAATGGCCATACTGTACGCAAGGTCTAGTGTGAATTTTTGAATGGTATTGAATTGTTTTACGTTTGATACACGCCCTTCATAACATCATGCACTAGATAGCGCGAGCTCAAAGGAAACCAGCCATCCTTCCGAAAAGCCAAAAGGTCACGCCTCCTTCTGGTAGCGATCAAACACACTCTGACCGTACTTGGCACCCTTGATCTCGCGAGTTTCGCCATGGCCAGCGTGGTGATTAGGGCCCATGTAGGCACGCTTGGCCTCGAGGCCGGCTTCCATGGAGTTGCCCGTGCCGCTGATGACCTCGCCGCTCTGACCCACATCCCGGGTCGAGCGTGGCCAATCGGTGGTGTTGTCAGTGGCCATCACTGTTGAGGGCTCGGCGATGCCTTCATTATCGAAGCGGCGGTGCTCGGCGCGCTGGTCTGGGCGTGGCACGGAGGGGATGGTATTCATCAAGCCGGCATCGTTGGGCATGGATGTGCCTTGGCCCATTTCGGAGAGGCTGCCACCTTGGTGTGGGTCTTCCTGAACCATTTTGGATATGGAGGTGGTTGTTCGATTTGAAGCGGTTTGATGTCCAGTGGACTTGAGATATTGAGGGATGAATGAAGGATTTGGGTTAGGACAGCGTGTTTGATCCAACCAGACCAGACTACAGTGGTACTCTCTTATATTCCGCTCTGGGGCCCAAGTCCTGTACTACTGGCACTGATGTCACATCGCTGGATGCTCTCCAGGGATGATGGGCAATGATATCACATGGTATTGATTGGTTGTTCATATTACCTGCATAGAACACATATAAGAAATAAGAAAACGGCGTTGGTCAATACGCAATACTTGAAACTGTTGTACGTTGAGAGTCGATATGCTGAAATTCAAGTGAGTTTCGTTGTCATTAAGCTGATGTTGCGCAGTGGCGAAACCAAATGCCCACTTGCTATCAAGGCGATCTGACCCACTCCAATGGAGTCTAGATGTTCGGAATCACGAACCGTAAATGAAACGCTAATTGAGATTGAGTGTTGCACATATGATGCCTCAGTCGACAATGCAAGGTGTGTCAGTTAGCTTCGGCGATGGTAGGTACCTTGTCTTTTCAGGATGATTACAACTTAACTAGGTGGGAAAAGCAAAAGTCAAGTATGAAGTGCAGTAAATGCAAAACTTTCTTAACGAAACATTGATCATTAAAGCTGAGTCAAACGGATAAGTAACGGCAAGGTTGTACGGAAATGAATGATTGTGAGAGAAGCATAAAAGACAGGAGCCACAACGAGTGACAAGAAGCTACTGATGCACCAAACACCTATATGGGACAACCAACTGTCTATAGGATGAAGGCAAGGACACCCATGACAGCGGCGGCGGCCGAGACAATACCCCCAGAAAGGCGGGCGGCGTCACCTTGGAACATCATTCCATGAGAGACAGAAGCCGACGGGGAAGCAGAAGAAGAAGCGGCCTTCTCAGCTGCGGCGCCAGTAGGGATCATCTTGCCCATGCTGCTAGACGGGGTAGCCTTGGAGAAAAAGGCATACGAGGCAGGGGTGGCCATGGGCACATGAACGGCGATCTTGGAGTACGAGGGACCCTGGGAAGCATACTTGTGAGGAGCGTAAGGGTCGGCGCCGGCAGAGTGCTGGGGGTAGTTGTAGACCGCACTAGAGGCGGCGGCAGGGGTGGCCGCGGGCCCATGCAGGGCGTACGGGACATCCTCAGAACCAAAGACGGGAGAAGATGGTGAGATAACGTTGGCGTCGACACCGGGGTAGTTGGCATAAGGGTCAGCACCGACGGGGTTCTCAGGGTCGCTTGCATATGGGTCAGCGCCAACGGGGTTCTCAGGGTAGTTGGCATATGGGTCAGCCCCAACTGGGTTCTCAGGGTAGTTGGCAGACGGGTCAGCCGCGACGGACTTCTGGGGAACGTGCAGGGGGATTGCATTGGTCTCCATTGCGGTCTGGTACTGGGTCTTGGTCACTGTGTGGACAACCTCATGCACCTGGGCAGCGCACTGGGGAGTCTCCTCCCGGTAATCAGCTGGAGGGTGGACGTGGGCGAAGTCGCCGTCGATGGCGTGGTTGTCCTCATTGTGCTCGTCCACACCGGTGGCAACGTCAATGTTGGTGGGAGCGGAGAATCCAGTGCCCTCGTCATCTCCAGAAGGGCCTCCAATAGCGGTACCACCACTGACGGGGGGAGGAGCGAACGCACGTCGACCGAAAGCGATGCCACCAGCGCCAGGACCGTTGTTGTTGTTCTTCACCGAAGTGAGATCATAGTCGAATGTGGTGTGAGGCTCGTGGTGAGGCTCGTAGTGAGGGCTATAACTAGGACTGTAGTGAGGCTCCGGGTGGTGCTCGAAGTGAGGCTCAGGGTGAGGAGCGTAGTGGGGCTCAGGGTGAGGCTCGAAGTGGGACTCGAGGCCAGGGAACCCACGGCGACCAAAGGAGATGCCACCAGCAGCAGGACCGTTGTTGTTACCCTGCACCGAAGTGAGCTCGTGCTCCAGGGTAGTGTGAGGCTCATAATGAGGCTCGTAGCTAGGGCTGTAGCTAGGGCTGTAGTGAGGCTCCGGGTGGTGCTCTACGTGAGGCTCGGGGTGGTTCTCAAAGTGAGGCTCGGGGTGAGGCTCAAAGTGAGACGCAGGGCCGACAGGGAACCCACGGCGACCGAAGGTAATTGCGCCAGCGGAAGGGCCGTTGTTGTTGCCGTGCGCCGCAGTAAGCTCGTGCTCCAGGGTAGTGTGAGGCTCATAGTGAGGCTCATAGCTAGGGCTGTAATGGGGCGCATAATGAGGCTCCGGGTGGTGCTCTACATGGGGCTCAGGGTGATTCTCAAAGTGAGGCTCCGGGTGAGGCTCGTAGTGCGGCTCATAGTGAGGCTCAAAGTGACCATGAGGGCCGCCGTGGCCGGGAGGGCCAAAGTTCTCAGAGCGACGGAAGGGAGCAAAGGCAGAGTGAGGGCGGGGGTAGATATCCTCGTGCTCTAGGTCGATGGAGTGGCTATCCTCGTTGTGCTCATTGATACCAGTGGTAGTGTGGATGTTAGTGGGAGCGCTGAAGCTCTGGCCACCATCATTGCCGGAGGGACCACCAATGGCGGTGCCACCCGCGTGAGGGGGGCCGAAGCGCTTAGCGTAAGGGTAGCCGCCAGGGTACACATCCGTGTTCTTGATGTCAGTGGAGTGATCATCCTGGTTCTCATCTTCGACCTCGGTGTTGAAGACACCAGTCACAGACATATCGAAGCTCTGACCCTCATCGTTGCCAGAGGGGCCGCCCATCGCAGTTCCACCTGGGAAACTACGCTTTCCGTTTGCGAAGGGTCCCATTCCAGGGACCTGGGGGCCGTGGCCAAATGGCACAGGCACCACGGGAGGGCGAGGGTACACATCCGTGTGCTTCAGCTTGATGGAGTGGTCATCCTTCTCCCACTCGTTGACCTTGGTATCGGTCTTGATATTAGCGGAGTACGGGCTGACGAAGCCACCGTCAACATCATTGCCAGAAGGCCCACCGATGGCGGTACCACCAGTCTGGGGGTGGGGGTGGGGGTGGAAGTGGCCATCATTGCCAGAAGGTCCACCGATGGCGGTGCCACCAGCCTGGGGATGAAAGTCATTCTCGTGCTGTACATTCAAGTTAATTGGTGGCTCGGTATATCGAGGGGAAGACGACATACACGTTCAGCAAACTTGGCCTGGGCAGCAACTGCCAGCAGTGCCACAGGGATTCCGCCGATGAAGCCCTTCATGACTGCGGTGCTTGGAAAATATTACTGTAAAAAGGCGTATGCTCTTGCGCGTAGGAGTTAAAAGAGTGACTGGAAGCGAGTGCTACTTGAGCAGGATAAAAGAATGGCTCGATGATAGATTATTCTCCCTGAGAAACAATGAATAGTAATACAGCTTGAGGAGATTTTCACACCTTTAGTAGTTCCTTCGCATTCAAGATCGTCACCTCACGAAGCGGGCGGGAATGCCGTTGCATCAACAGGGCACCCCAACATGAAGCCAAGGCGTGGGTAATACCATCAGAATGTCGCCAAGAATGAAAAACAACATCAACAGGAGAGAAAATACCCCCTCTGCTGTGGTTAGATCGTAAACATTTGCCATGCAATCCCTAGAAAGGTCGTGATATTGCATTCCGCGGGATGAGAAGGAGAGATCACCACCTGGGCAGGACCCGCGGCATTCACAGATTGAGCAAGCCCCTTGGCTGATCCAGGATATTTTATTGACAGTTTTGCACGAGTCGTTCGGAAGTGATGCCATAAGTCATGTTCGACTCTTCCCAAACAGACTGAAGTATGGACGATCTTGGTACTGTGCTTGTTTCGGGTTGAGCTGAGGCTACCCACCGCCCGGACAACAAGGGATTCCCAGGGATGTCAAGTCGACTCAGATCCAAGTGCCCGCTTGTGCACACGTAGGCCTAGCTGAATCATCCACGTTACAATGCGACCTCGGGAACATTGCGTACGAGTGACTCCGAGCCTGGTAGCATTTATGCAGGGTTACGCTGAATCCATTTCGACATTTGGAGTCTTCTATATACCCAACCTACTGAAGACGCTCGCATGCATAAACGCGTTGGTCGCTACTCTCCCTCTCAACTACCAGAACTGAGTTGAGGGGAAGGAATGTATCCCGTCTTCGACATTCAAATCCCACCGCCCTCACTTAAGAGGACACAGAGGGGAAATGAACTTCCTATCGAGGAATCTATCTCCTGAGCCGATCAGTCCCGTAGGACCGAAGGCAACACATCGTCGTGGGGTTGTCGTAAGACAGGACAATGGTCGTGGCAGGCTCAGTTGCTTTTTTTCGATGAAAAAGAAAAGACAAAGGGAGAAGGGAAAAGTTTGCAGTCTTTTATAATGCTAGTGGGGTCGCGGGTCGGATCTACAATATTCCTCTCAGCGCCAAGGTCGGTCCGACCCGTTACGTTGTGGCCTATATTTTAAGGCCCTAAATCACACCTCATGCACAGCCGTATTCAGATGAACAGGGGGAAGAAAAAAGGAGGAAAAAACTAAGGATATGATACAGCAGTTCCGGCCAGCTCCATGACATGTCCAATTCAATACCGGGATCCTGATCAAGCCGAAATGTGACATGTCACTACTGCGGACGAGTGGGATAACCTCCAATTAAGAATGACAACTGCTCTCCCCTATAGTCCAGGTCCCATGGCATCTTCAAAGAGAAAGTAGAAACAAAAAGGCTGAGCTAGTTTAGGTCGGAGAAGCCGACAAATCAGTCATGATGAATGGTGATCTTCTTGGTCGTCGCCCCGAATCAAAAGTGGCAACATCGAAGCTTGCATATCCTGTCAGCGATCAATCCAACCCAGAGGGTGGAAGAGACTCAAAGAACTCACTTATCCCGTAGATGCTGTCTTTCCAGCACTGGTCTTCCAACCTGCTCCTCCCACCGCCGCGGTGATGCCCAATGCGATCGCAATCATAGTCCCCACTGTCACCACAGCCACGACTGCCTTCAGTGCCATTCGTTGTTTATTACTCAAGGTTTGCAACCAGGTCAATGGCTTGTTCTCTTCCTCCCACAACTTCGATCGCCGGGGACTATCGGTTCGGCAGCTCGCGTATGGGCCCAAGCTTTCGATGTCTCTCATATGGCTTCTCCGATTGGCATTCTTTGTTTCGAAGGTGAGTTGTTCGTGCGAGATTGTTGGACTTGAATGAGGATAGAAAGGCGAGCATGGCTTTGCACCGATCGATGGATCAAACTCCTGGCTGTGAGCCCCAGGTGAAGATGTAATGGAACATCGTGGGGGCGCGATCTTAGGCGTGGTAGGGATTTTCTCGTCGTTGGATTTGATCGATGCGGCCACCTGGGCCCCAATCACCCCGAGTCCGTGCAAACTCATAACGATGTGCCAATGGGGCTGGAAGGGAGGAGAGCGAATTCCCAGATCAAAAGATCTTGGACAGTGACCGCTTCAAGCTTTTTCGCTTGGACTTGGATCGTTGTACAGGGCGTGGCTCTTTGACCTTGGGTGCTGGTGTTGTGATTGCCTCAACGGGAATCGCGACGGTCGAGACACCGCCGTACATAAACAATGCCGTATCAACCTGGAATGCGCTCCAAGTCCAGGCGGACCGCGGCAGTTTCATCACTCGGATCACGATAAGAAATATAATTATTTAAAATAGTCGAAGGGCGATTGTAGGCCCGTCAAGAGGATAATTTGATATAAAATGGGATGAATAGTGGTTTCCTCTTGAAGCGCACCTGGCCAGTTTTGGGGTAACTTCACGGTAACAGCGGTCTGGATTTTCTGGAAGGGGTCCTAGGTACACTCGGCAACACCCTGCAGTGAAATGGATTATTTCTCTAGGGATAAAGGCCCTCATTGGCTCGAGAGCTGTTTTTCACCCCTAGATTGGCGTCTCGTGCAGCTGCCAGCATTCCCATGCCCTTTATAATGCAAATTGTCTTCTCCTGCAGCAAAAGCAATCCTACTATTGGTAAATCTTTGCTTGGACAGCATTTTTATCGGTCGATCGTTTAATCCCCTGTTCCACATCCTCTCTCCATAGGCTCTGTTTGTAACCCTGTTTCCCACTTCTGTACGTGGGTTCCACCCTAGCATATATGGTCAATCTATTGTGTACCTCTCGGTAGGACAGAACGGGGCGACATGGGCATATTTGAAATCGGGCTGCCTCGATCATTCTATCTCGACATTGTTCACATATTGTAGGTCGTATGTAGGTCACATCTTGAATATGCATACAAGCTCCATGACATTGTACAAATCACACCGACAAAGCTTGCCCCGGTAGAGTAGGTAGCATCAATCGCAGTCATAGATCATCATAATCTAGTTTCGAAAATCCTGAGTAAAACTTAGTTGTCGTTGTTGCGTCGATGCTCCAGCGACTAAAGCTCACCTGGAAGCTAGAAATTTCCCTTGTTTGACTACAACTAATTCGATTACCTCCCGAAATAGCTTTATTGTATGGGTCATAGAAGTAATATTTGAAGTTTTGTCTAGGCACTTTTCTATAATAACCATGTTGGGCTGGGGCAAAATATATATAATCCGGACTGATATATATCTTGACATGTTTCTTAAGACAAACCTAGAACGAAAAAACATGTCCAACTTGAATGCGTCTCAAGATCATGCGAGATTTTACAAAGTACCTATCACATAAAGATTTATTTATTTGTCTGCTCTCTCACGGCATTGGCATCTACTTGCCTAAGAACCTCTAACTGTCTTCGGGTAGCACTCAAATACTCCGGAATATATAATATGCTACAGCACCATGTTAACAGACAAAGCAAAAGGTAGGCAGATAGAGAAATCTTCTACTTCGGCCAATCAAGCTTCTTATTGAGCTTCACTCTACCTATAAAATTTAAGTAGGTGGTTTCACGCATCAGGCAGATGTCTAGAGTAACACCAGTAACACCAGCCAAGCATACCTCATGATCAAGCTAGCTAATGCCAATAGCGACCTCAGGATGCAACATGCAACCTAGCTTTTTCTGCCAACTGACTACGAATCTACTACCACTAATGAACGATGGACTACATTATTTACTTCTATCGTCACAAGTCTCCGGAACTAGGCCCTCCTCAACCTTGAGATTCTCGCAACATGGAATTAATCCACTGCCGTAGCCTCCAAAATCGCCTTAAGAAAGAAATATAATTAGCTCGACACACTATAAGCCAACTATCCCAGTTCATGTGTCAATACGAACAGAAATTATTTCCAATATTGAATGTTAATGCGGAACCCCGACATGCCATGTTCACCCTGCACGAGTGGGGGGATACTGAGGGTGAGTATGTCCAAAACATCAGCTATATCGACAGAATGATAGCCGCTACGATAAGAGAGAAGGGTGAAGTATTCTGGAAGATAACAATAACTCACTCCAAAAGAATCCTTATCCCTAGGTTCGTTGTGGTTGGCGGAACGAACAAGACCACGAGGGCCCAAAATACAACTGTAGAATTTCAATATGTTCATTCATTCAATACATGACAGCCAATAGGCTCAGTCATAAGATAGACCATATTAAGTTACAATCTCTAAAACTGTTGAGGCTGGTGCCTTGGGCCTATAGGACCCCTCTTCCCTCTCTCTCCTACAATTACCCCCACATCAGGGCTATTATCTCGCCAATATATTATGTCTCGACTACCTGAGTGGGCTTTTCACGGTTCCGATCGGATGAAACCTTAAGTGCAGTGGAGCACGCCTCCGTCATGGGTGTGACAGTTCTATTCAAATCAGTTTCCAATCACCACAATGCAAATTAAAGAGCGACTCACGGCAGGGACTTCGGCAGTTGTCGAAGGAGCATCAGTAGCTGTTGCAGTAGGAGTTGGCTGACTAGTAGCCTCGGGTTCATCATGCTCATGCTCATGCTGGACACCTGGGCAGCCAACTCCCGGCACAGCAATGTCGAAAGCATATGCCTCCAGTGCGAAGTACTGAAGGGTCTCGGAGTCGCGGGTCGTCAGCGTCGCATTCGTCTTCGCCAGGTCAACGACCTCTTCATATCCGTCTGCGAAATGGTCGATCCAGTTCTGTCCGATGGCAGAAACATGGTACAGGCGGTGCAGGAGATCACCGGCCCAGAAGGTGTTGGTCTCAGACTCCGAGACTGTGTATCCAAGGCCACACATTGTTGAGAGAGAACGACGAGTCTCGTAGCTCAAGTCACAGATGACAGTCTCATCCGTGCCGTTTTCGCCACGCCAGTGTCCAGCCCAGCCTATTTGGTTGACATAATTAGTATACCTTCTTTCACATAGAGCAAGGTGCATTACCTTCATTGTTGCAGTTTCCATCTGGGTTGTCACAACGGAACAAAACGTCTTTCTTGTCCCCGTTGATAACGATATCAAATGCACCGATGGCTTCCATGGATGGACGATCACTGAAATACTTCTGGTATATCGCACTCTCATTTCTCCATCTCAAGATATGGTCCTTGGCATGTTGAGCCAGAGTAATAGTCTCGTTAAGACCTAGCTCAATCTGGCGACGCTGGGTTGCATTGCAGCTTGAGTGGATGGGGAATTGAGTCACAGCCCCGGCGTTCCAAGGTGCAAGACCATTAGGAGTGAAGGGCTGGGATTGGTTGCCTTCGGAAGTCTCCGGGGTGGGGAGAGCAGCAGCAATTGCCGCAGAGGAGAGAACGAGGTTGAACAGACGCATTTTCGTAAAATTGAGGCAAATTGCTTTGGAAACTATGGAAGCAATTGCCAACGACAGGAGCAGCTTTTATAGCTTTTTTTTACAAAGTTTTCAAAGCTTCCATATACGAAGATTTTAGTTTTTCTCAACTGTTTGCCAAGTGTGGCTTTTGTTGCGGTCATTTTCATTATATCGACGGAGTATGGATAATCCAATCCACGCAGCACCCAGGAGAGAAAGCGGGACTGTCTTCTCCATTTTTCTCGGGAAACGGGTGATGTAATCGGCCAAGAGGGGACCTTGAGAGCTTCTTCCATCGCCTCTTTCGCCAAAATTTTGTTTCTCCAGCAATGAGCGCAGAAAGCGCAGAAAATATCACGCTGATGCCAAGACAAAGGCTCGGCGGGAGGGTCGCCAAGACATTAGGTGGGAGTACCTTGAGAGCACAAGAAGTGTCTAGGCGATATTCTCCGGAGATATCCCGAATTGGAGGTTCAGGCCTGCTCTTGGCGAGAAAACAGAAAGGTCTTTCGCTTGGCATCGAGAACCTTGGGGGTGAGACACCAAGGTAGGGCTGGTTTTTCATGGACTAGGCAGCTCTTAGAGAGAATTACTCGCAGGATCCTTTGATTTAAAAACTTCACTCATGGCATATTTCTTGCCTCAATCTCAATCCTAATCTCAATCTCATCATTCTTGTTTGCGAAAGAGTTGAGCACCAGCTTCATCATGCTCATTTTCAGATCTTTCCTGATATCACTGGGCATTGCGAGGGTATATGCAGCCACAGCAACCACATCAGCACAATCGTCATCTGTAACTGGTTGCCATACTCACGGCTCAGACATTTACTGTATCGATGGAAATGGCAAGGAAGTTCTAGTTTCGGCCACATCTACCCCTACAACCGGAGTACCAGCACAATACACTGGCTGTCACTCTCACGGAAGCGAGTCGTAAGTCCGCAGCTATGAATTTTCATGAGACTATACTAACCTACAAAATTCGAAGATATTGCATGGATGCAGATGGAAACGATGTCCTGATTCAAGCAGAAGGAACGGAAACCGAGACTGCCACAGACAGTCACAGTGAACATGCCCACGAGGAATCCTCCGGCGAAACCAAGCAGAACTGCCACTTCCATGCTGGCGTCGAGTAAGCTTATAATAAACTTTCCAATTTTGTGCATTATTGACTTTAGCCATTCCAGACACTGCGTGGGTGAAGGTGAGTCGGAGGGAGCTAGCAGTTCCGAGGAATCCTCCGGACAGAACTGCCATTTCCATGCTGGCGTCGAGTAAGCTTATAATAACTTTTCCAATTTCGTGCATTATTGACTTTATTCCAGACACTGTGTGGGTGCAGGTGAATCAGAGGGAGGCAGCAGTTCAAGGTCATCGTGTAGTATCCGAGCGAGAGACTACGACATCCCTCTGAGAATTGGCACGTTGTTTGTCGTCCTTGTCACTAGTTCAATTGGTGTCTTTGCCCCTCTTCTCCTGATGAAGCTTCCATCTGCCTCTATCAATGGAGTGGTCTCGACCGTCATCAAGCAATTCGGAACTGGTATCATCATCGCCACGGCTTTCATCCACGTAAGCAACCTCGGCCTTGATAGACGTACACTTGCTGACTGCTTTCCTTAGCTATACACACATGCGAACCTCATGTTCACCAATGACTGTTTGGGAGAACTCGAGTACGAAGCGACTACCTCCGCGGTAGTCGTGGCGGGTATATTCATTGCTTTCTTGCTAGAATACATTGGCCACAGGATGGTCGTTTCTCGCAACAGCAAGAACAACTCCGCAGAAAACGTACCGTCCGAGTCCGAGTCTCAGCAAACACAGCCGAAGGAGAACGGCCACTCTCCGGAGCAGCAACATACTACATTGGCTGGTCTTGGCCACAGTCACGGTGTTGTCGGACCCAACAGCAAATTTTCGGTCATGGTCATGGAAGCTGGTATCCTGTTCCACAGTATCTTGATTGGCCTCACCCTTGTTGTCGCCGGCGACTCATTTTACAAGACGCTTCTGGTAGTGATTGTGTTCCATCAATTCTTTGAAGGGTTGGCACTCGGTGCTCGTATCGCAACCCTACCGGGAGCTATTTTCCCTTCCAAAGCGTCTATGGGAATAGCGTTTGCCTTGATCACACCTATTGGCATGGCTATTGGGCTTGGTGTTCTTCACACCTTCAATGGTAACTCGAGGGGCACTTTGATTGCACTAGGAACATTGGATGCGCTATCTGCCGGTATCCTGGTGTGGGTTGGTGTGGTTGATATGTGGGCGCGTGACTGGGTCATTGATGGTGGTGAAATGGTGCATGCGAAATTAGGAAAAGTTTTCACCGGTGGTATTTCCTTCGTCAGTGGGCTGGTGTTGATGGGACTGCTCGGAAAATGGGCTTGATTACTTCCACATGTACATAATTAGCCTGATCCCAAAGAGTAAGACATCAAGGTTCTCTTAGGCCAATTTCACTCTTTGTATTCCATATTCATCTGAATTCCGGGCGATCGTTTCGCAGGCGCCTGTCGCCGGTATCGAGCAACGCGTATAAGTGCTCAACTTTCTCTGAGAATAGGCATGGCCGAGAAAGCTTGAAGCCACGCAATTCAGGCAGATATATGGGTTGATCCCGGGAAGTGGAATATTCATCTACAACTGCTTTTCCAGACGCGATCCTCGGGTGCACCAGGCACTCTTCCCGGCTCTCAGTGTTCATCTCTACCACAACAGCAAAAGAGGCTATATCCTTATATGGAATGGTGGTAGAGCCAATGGATTCCCGGACAAAGTCTTCTGGGATGCAGTAGGTTTGTCAGGAGGTGAAAGAGGGCTTCATAACCTGCTATGACATCCGCTCGGCCGGAAGAAAAAGAAAAGAGAGATATATTGGTCGAAAAGTAAATTAATTCTGCAAAGCCCAGCTCAGATAAGCTATATTCAATTATTTCCATCCTCATCTCGCAAACGCTGTTGAAGTAATCAAAGCTGACAGTTGCCAAAATGCTTGCAACTAAAATGCTACTAATTAAGCCACGTATGTCACTCAATCTTCCTGCGTATCTGTTAATTAATGGTATCGGCTTTGGCAAGTTTATCATAGCCTTATTCTTTAGATTTGGGGTTGCGAATCATGCAATATAACTGGGATGGCGTGCGTCAGTCATCTAATACGAACATCCAATTGAGAAGGCATACCTTGCAGACATCCCCTCCATCCACGCATTCAATCTCCTTGACCAATTCGAAGCCCATTTTCTCGTAAATACCCACGTTTGGATACCCCTTGGAGCTCTCGAGGTAGCACGGCATATTCTCCCGATCGGCCGTCTCCATGACATTCTCCATGAGCTTCTTTCCCACTCCCATGCCACGGGCATTTGAATCGACGCAGACAACATTGCAAAAATAGTACCCGCGGGGGTCCTGCCAGATGGCATCATGTGCAGTTTTTTGCACTTGCTTCCAAATCCAATACCGGCGTACATTCAGACCACCACGACCAAGGAAGCGGATATTGTTCATAAGTTGACGGAAGGAAAGAAGCCAATCCTGCGCCCAAGCAGACCAGGTCTGTGTCATGGAAGGCGGTTGTGGTGAGTACCACCAGGCAACGCCGACCACAGTACCGGCTGGTAGACGGATGTCGTCATTGCTCTTGGTTTCATTTGCGGCACGAGTTATCTTGGCGACAGAGATGGGGCAGTCGCAGTTGATACCATATTGGAAATGAGCGGCGAGGGAGGCTGCGTTTCGGTGGATGTTAAACTGTCAGAACCCGTTATTACTTGGTTCGATATCCACTTCGTCCTGTTTCACTCTTCTTTCTTGTATATCTTTCTCAAAGCCACAATGAAGTCCTCGGGAGACATTGCTTGCGGAAGAAGATATTTCATACCTTGGATGGATCATCAAACGCCCAGCGAAAATATGGATCGTTGGCAAACGCTTTCTGCACACAGTCTACAGCCCCAGGTATGTCGCTCTGAGCCAGCGGGACGATTTCGATTGACATTGTTTTTGTTCTTGGCTTGTCACTACGTTTTTTGGACAGCGAAGATTGTTTCAGCGAACGGATTTAGACGTCCGGATACTTTTTCTACTAGCTCTGCGAATATCTTGACGCAGAGATATAGCATAAGAATGCCAATGAAGCCGTTGGGGACAGTGTGAGACAAAGGCAACCGCCATCTAAGTAGAATTGAAGTGGCGACAGCCCACGAGTTGATGGAGGAGAAGGTGAGGGAAGGAAGGACTTTGTTTATTGTAAGGGTGTCAGCAATCCAGAAAATAATGGGTAGAAATCCACTCTCAGGGCTGCGAACGGGGGCTCATATAGCTGAGCTCGGTGGTCTCCGACTTGATTGTCACGCTTATCTTATCCACGTAAATTCCAACGTTGCATGTCGCTAGCCTTTCTAGGCAGCTCCAACCGTACATTGGCACTGTGGAGGTGTTACACGGCGTCCACTCAGACCATCGCCCCGTCGTGGCCCCGGTAGTAACCGCAGCTACACAAGTCTAATACAGACCACATGACTGTCTGCATAGTTGAAGCATGTACATAGGACATCGTAGATGTCCTCGAATACCTCAAATCATTCGGCGATATTGTCGATCTCAGATGTATGTGTTTTCCCTAAACGCGGGGACAGGCTCGTATTGGATCATGTGGAGAAGCCAATATAGCACTAATCTCAATCAGGCATGTCGTTGCGTCATTGGCTCAAGCGATTGTGGGGCATATCAGGTTTATCAGTTCAAAGGTCAACCGATAAGAGATAATCAAGGACATTGATACATAATTAGAGTCGAATATAGTCCATACATGGAGTTGATCTTGTTTAAAGTCTCGTAGGGTGTGGTCTATTTCTCCCTTATAGCTCATGGACCGGATTCCGTGGCAAGTACATACTACATGTAAGCAACGGAAAATGATTCCGGCCGGATGTTGGAAATCATGAGCTTGGTGAGTAGAACCATGCAAAATAGGAGCGAACGTGTCTCCATCAGACGAGAAATACATGTCTAAAATTGTGCTCATATGTCACTCAGTATACACTGAAATTTGCTGCCTGGCAGTTTACCCTTTGTTTGGTGACACATGAGCACATGGTCACCTGCTTGTTTTCTTGCTTGGTTTAACTACCCCCATGCCCTACCCTTTGTAGTCTCCCCTTTGTTTATCGAGCCCATGTATCTGGAATACGATTTTAAACATGATGAAAGCGCTGAAAGCTAATACATCCAGCAAAATATTTACGCAGAGGTTATGGCATCGGTGTTACGACTGCTTTATGAGCTGTGCCCAGTATTCCGACTTCTATGCAACTGTGAAAATCTACGGTTCTTTCCTAGAGTCAAACTTTCAATTATTATCCCCTGTCATGGACCATATTTTCTCTTTTGATAGGATATAAATAGTGTCTTTGTGAGTAGGGAGGAGGCGAAGAGTTTCTTTCTTGACGAAACGTAACTACATATGTAGGTAGGAGTCTTCCGAAACGCAGTCAAAGGTTCGATATTCTTTTTCTTCCTTGGAGAATAAAGATAAAAATCTTTGTTGTCATTGCTGTCTTTGTCAAATACATCGACCAGGAAATCGAATCATTATCAACTCTACTCCATGCAAATGCATAAATAACTCTGATCTCCATCATCTACTCGGCTCTCCCACAACATAACTGGCAAGCAATCCCCGGGCACACATCGGATTCTGCGTCATTGGACAATTCAGTGATCTGCTTGCACCTTGTTTGTCCAGGAATCGTCAGCAAATTTCACTTCAAATCGTACTTCAACCAGCTTCCGTCGCCGGTCTGATCTGCCGACGATGCCTCACGAAGATCTTGATCGTATACTGGCCGATGATCCCTACAACGAGCGACGTATTTTCGTTTTGTCATGCTTGCACGATGCAATCTACTATCTTCGCCACGGACCGCACCGTCGTAACGATGTGATCGCCTCGTTACAGGAGGAAATTGCTCCCGAAATCGATATCTCTATCTCAAGCGCTGTTTTGAAGCGTGATACCCAGTTTGAGCGGTTGTGCCGTAACCTTGAGCTTGTCCTGCCTATCTCGATCAGGATTCTCAGCCAGCGTAACGACCGGGAGACCGACCAAGACGTTGCCGAGGAACTCATCAACTGCATCCCTACCGCTTTGCAACAACCTACTCAATGGGACCCGGATGTCGAAGAGAGTTCTGAGGAGGAAGAATTTGAGCGGCAAAATAGGCGTCGTCGTCGTCGTCGTCATCATCGTCACAGATAGGTTTGGTTCTCTAGGGGCAGATGGAGTATGAGCTATAGGCCTGACAGGGTTTGGAGGATTTTCAGTTTTAGTACATTTTCTGCTGGCTCTCTACGTTCCGTGTTTTTATTTAGACGACAAACCAAGGATAGAATTCTGTCCTTACTGCTCACATAACCCAAGTAGTTACCATTCAACACAAGCGCTTGTCACATGTATTTTCTGATATACGATCCTAGATTTAGCAGACTGGACAATTCACATAGCGGAGCCTCTAGAGGGCAGAGCTTGCCTGGCACTTAATGTAGAAGAAACAGATCCATACGCACAAGCTGGCCAATTCGATCAACACCAACAAGATCATATTACTACCAAATACATTAAACTTCTTTTAATAATTATCAGAAACTGGCAATAACGAAACTGATCTAAATCTTATCAAGATATCAAGAAACAACCGACCATATCTCAGTCAACTCTTCCCCAATTCAACCATCTAACCACGATTCCGTCCGCGATGGAAGCGAGGCAGGAAAGCAGGCGCAGGCTCAGTGCGAGTCTCAGTCACAAGACGGGTGACGTTCAATGCACTGGTCGTGGCATTCGCGGCAACAGTCACGTTAGTGAAGTGGGCCGTCATTGTCGTGTTGGTAAATATCTGTCGGCGAATAACCTCGGGGTTGAGAATTGCTCGTGGAGTGATATGCGCCCCTGGCGTTCCGGGGGATACATGTACAGAGGTTGTAGGCAAAGTCACGAGGGTGGCTGGTGTCGTGGGCAAGGCTGTCGTGACTGTAGTGGGTGAGCCTGTCGTGACCGTGGTATGGTGTCTAGTGGTGGTTGGTATGAGAGGCGTCGATGTCCGAGTCTGAGTATGAGTCAAGGTGTGGGTGCTGGTTCTGGTGAATGGCGATGTCACGCTGCCAGTGTGTACACTAGACGTGCCCGTTGAGGCCGTCACGCTGCTAGTTGGGATGTGTACGCCAGTGGTTGTTGAAGCTGTCACGCTGCCAGTTGGGATGTGTACGCCAGTGGTTGTTGAAGCTGTCACGCTACCACTTGGAGACACTCCGCCAGGTCCAGGTCCAGGACCTCCAGTGGTTGTTGAAGCTGTCACGCTACCACTTGGAGACACTCCGCCAGGTCCAGGTCC